GTAGTCTTGTCTGCCCTACCCCTAGTGTTTTTGTAAAGCCGTAGGCACGCAGGGAGAGCAGCCCCCGCCCGCTGTAAGAAATCACAGGCACCTAAGCGAGCCGTAACGGCTGAGGCTGGTCGCCGAAGACGACCAACAAGCCGAAGCTGCGGAGGCGAGCATGGGTGCCTGTGATTTGCTACGCAAGGGCAAAGGGGCTGCACTTCCCGCAGTGCCGAAGCCGTTGCAGAAGTAACTGCGTCAATATTCCTGTATAAAAAAATGAGGTTATGATTTTACAAAAAAAGGGGGGTTTCCGGCACTTCTCCCTTTTAGGGCGAGGTTTCTATCCCAGCCCCCCCCACTCGGTGACCATATATTCATGCGGCAGATTATTAAAAAAATTCATAAAAAATGGGGGGAGGGGTTCCGGCACTTAATTCTTTTAGGGGGAGGTTCCTACCCCTCCCCCCCATCTACCAGCCCACTCGGCGACCAATAATTCGTGCAGCAGATTACTAAAGAATTACCATATTTTTATATACCGAAGGTATATTTTTTTTTTTGCGCCCGAAGCAATTAAAGGGCTACCCTATACGTAGGGAGGCGGAAAATGCATTACGCATACCACGATAGCCGGTCTATCGTGGTTATGAGGGGCTCACTGTCCTACCGGGGACCCTAAGTGATACCCTCTAAAAACCGCCTTTGGGGACAGGCAGCCGGCTGATTAAGCTGTATTGTGCCTCATCATGAGCGACCCTCTTTTGGCAAAAGAGGGCGCAGGCGGCTAAGAGCCGCTGAGGGAGTGCCTACGAAGGCAAATTAATGCTAGTTAATACAATAATTTAATTTAATTAGAGTTGGCCTGAGCCGCCAGGAGCCAGTTCAGGTCGTTTGACAGTTTATTAGGCGGGTCCGAGAGAGAGTTTCTTGGCCTGCGGACACCATAGCGGGAGGGGGGTGGGGCTGCATAAGAAGCTGCCTCACGAATTAATTGGTTTGGGTGCGACTCTGAGGCTTTGAAGAAGTTCTCAGAGAGTTTTTTAAGAAAGGTATACCTTTTCTTTATATACAACAGGAATTTTTTTTAATCATAAAAACCACAAAAAGGTCAGGGTACACTTATGAAGAATAAGAAAACAAAACTAGTTAGAGGCAGACAGTAAGTAGGTACCTAGGTAAGGAATGTTTACGTATTTTTGTTATACCTATTCTTATCATTAGCAAATGAAACCCAGAAGTATTAATGTAATAATGGGTACCTAGGTTATAAAATATTATCTTATTCTTATGCGTATTTCAGCCGCGACAAAATATTTGTTTCTTAGAAAATATTCCGCCACCATCATGTCACGGAATATTGGAAGGTTGTCAGATTGACCTTTTGAAACCCTTCTTCCATCATTAAATACTTAAAAACACCAGAGCGCACGACGGCAAACAACTCACCCGCGAAATATTACTACAAACATTAATTTATATATTAAACTCAATGACTACAAACGTATGATCGGCGCGCTGGAACGGTATGGTGGCGCGGCCGCATGGAATCGATGACGTCACGCGCTACTCGCGGGCACGGGCGAGATTTTAAAAATGTACGTAAACTTTCCACGCCTATAACTTCGGTAATAGTGCACCGATCGGTGTGAAATAAAAACTATAATTATGTGTTTGGTCTAGACATTTTACCTACGTACTTAAAAGTTTAATATTGTAACCTTGTTATCTTCTCCATTGAGTACATAATATTTCGTAAACATCATAGTGACAATCGAAGTATGTCAAGCACACTCACGAGATTAGTTATATATATATATATAGGTATATATTTTAAAGTCAACCCTTAGATGTTACAAATTAGGTTTAGGGCCTTCTAGTTGTTATTAATTTATTTACTGTTAATGTTAGCTGTAAGTTTTGCAAACAAAATAAAATGTTTAGTTACATCTAAGTATTTTTTAGAAAAAGCGAAAAATTCACGTTTACAAGGACCGTTTGAAAATAAATTAGAAAACAAGCAAACGAAGAGACTAGTTTATATTAGCAACAAATAAACAATAAAAGTGTAACGAGACTGCTTAACCCTGCTAGTGGTCGCGCCTTATAAAATAACGTAAAGTAAATGGTCGAGTGGATTACGTATGTAGTCCAATTTAAAATATGAAGAAAGTTTTAAAATATCAATTTAAATGTATTTTTATTTTATTACAAATATGCAACAGGACAATATTTAGTCAACGGTTAATCATATTTAATAAACAAAAACCATTTATGCGTAATTTTTTTATTCAAATTATAATATTAAAATAACTTTTACATATTAATATATGAAAATATCACATTAATATCAAAGTTAGATTACAAATCAGTTACCATATATTTTTCTAATCATTTGGTTCCAGAAATATCCAAATTTAAGATTATTTTACAGTGGTTTACTATTGTAATCCACGCGGCAACTGTAGGGTTAGTGTTTAATTGGAAATGGTTTCATATTGATGTGTGATTCATTGAATAAGCGTTAAAATTTATCAGCAAACACTCTCACTTTAAAAAAGATTACCAATTATTAAAATAAAAGTGTGAATGAACAATTTTTTTCTCCTTAGGTTAAATAAATTCATTATATTTTTTACTATAGATGCGTCTGTACTAAAACTTCCTTTAATTATTGTATTTAAAATGTATTTAGTTATCTTACTTGTTATCTAAATGATAACCGCGACTTGTGACCACGAGGATAAGGGAAAATTAAAAAGTTCTTGTTAACTTGTTAATATTTCGGGACAAATGTAGCTTATATTAATTAAGAGTATCCAAATCTGTTCAGTCGTTGTGGCGTAAAGGAGTAACAAACATCTTGAATCTGTTTGAATGCTATTAGGCATAGGAAAAACTTTTACTTACATAGCTATAAGGTTGTGGTGAGTATTAATTAAGTATTAGTGATAATTACCTTTTGTGGTGTAAAAAATTTCATATTTTGCCTCTGTACGAACGTAGGCGCATAGCAGATATGATTTATCTTTTTAAATTGGCAAATGGTAATATCGACTGTCCGGAGCTACTAAGTAAGTTAAGACTTACCCAATTAAGAAAGCTTCGCTTACTCCATGTGCCGTATACGCGGACTATATACAGGCAAAATTATTTTATGATGTGATAAGTACGAGCATGTAGAACTTTGAACGAAATTTCCAATAGCGTTGACTTGGATTTCTTTAACGAGTTTCTAAACGAGTGTTTCTCGAATTAAAAATGTTTTATAGAAAAAAAATTACTTGTTGAGTGCTCTTCTATATAATTTTATTTAATTACTGTATTTGTCTCAATTGATGTTTATCTTTTACCGACTAGAATTATTGTTATTAAGTTCATAATGTCTATAGGTGAACACTTTTAAATGGCCTTCTAGTTTTTATTTATTTATTTACTATTAATGTTTGCTGTGTCTTCCAAAAAAAATTTAGTTCTGGGCAGTTTTCCAATGTTACTTCTAAGTTTCTATCAATTGTCTCTTTAAAAGTTCGCCTGCTTCAATTCCTATCTTTTCTAGGACTATTTTGTTTTATTTAATTACCAAAGATGTCTCTGTCAGCGAATCTAGTACTTCTTGCAAACTTGTAACTTTTTTTCTATGAATACCGTTTTAAAATAGACGATGTTGTTACTAAGATCAGCCTCGAATAAATATTTTTTTAATTTTATTTATAATTTTATTCCTTTATATTTATTGCACCGATTAATAAGTTGACACACTTTATTTTTGTTTCACAAAAGCATTTTATTGTAATGATAAACGTCCATTTTAAAACTAACTTTTATTTTGTGATGAGGGCTTGTTATTTAAAATATAAGTTCCTCCACTTTTTGTTTTTGGTACTTAGAGCCTATTTATTTCTGGTATTCGTGTTTAACCACCCCTCTTTAGAAGTCTCTGTATTAAGCCGCGGACAAACCGACAGACTGTTGAACTTGGCGAAACTATAAGCGCTCCTTTTTGTGTTACTATGGACTCCTAAAAGAAATTGCTACACGGACCAACTAAAAAGATGATTTTAATTGTTTGAGTGCGTTTTGCTAATGCTTGTGAGTTTTTCTTTTTTTCTAAGGGAAACTATCGATATAAAATATCGATATGGTAGCATCGCAATTAATTTGCCCGTCTTACACTCATTACTTTTTCTATGTTGATGTATATAACCTACATGAGGGCGTAAAATGTAATAATGTTGGAGATTTAGATTTGTGTGTTGTGCCATAATGACACAAAATTTTATTTTGTAGGTGTACAGTTCTCTCTCCATGTAGTGTTTCTTCCCCCGCACCAAAAGTGACAGAATTTTTTGTTCGTGGCATTAGGCACATTACTATTCCATTGGCTTGAGTGGTCTAAGCAAAATATAAATCAGACACAGCATAGCTGTATGGTCCAAAACTTTGCCTGCCCTAATTGACTAACAATATACTACGTTTCGCTCTGCCATAGATTCTTTGGGTATGTTCCGAAATACAACGCAGTATACTGTCCAATGCAATGACGTCATCATTTGACACTTTATTGTACTAGCGTGCCGCCGCCATATTGTGTCGGATATCCGGCCATAATAAAACAATTTTTAATTGTGTGTTTGCCGAATGAAGCATGCCAGAATTTATTTCTATTTATTCAAATACAAAAAATTATAGAATAATTGATGGTATATGCATTAGGAGGATATAATTATTTTTGGAGCACAAAATGAAAAAATAATCGCCAACACTTTTCCAAATGGCGCAAAAGTATGACGTCGTATACTGTCCAATGTTTTGGAACGAATCACCAGTATAGCGTCGATTCATGACGTCATTTGCATTGGACAGTACACTGCGTTGTATTTCGGAACATACCCTTTATCTCAAGATGCTCTTTTCGCGCAAGTGAAGTGTCAATGTCAATCAATCACCAAAATAAACACGTAGCCGCAATATTTTTGTAACGTTTGTAGTTTACATGTGCTTTAAAATTGTGAAAAATGGTTAGAACTATTTACTCACCCGAATATTGTCTGCAATATTTAGAACAGTTTGCGTCTCAAGAAATTTTCGTTACAGGATTAATTCTGGGACAGGTATGGCGGATATTTGCATGTATTTTATGTTCATAATTTATGCTCATGCTACGTTTCATATTGCAGATTACTAGCTCTCGCGAAAATGTTATACATCTAGCTCGAACGCCAGAAGAAAAAAGTACAGACAACGTAACCGAAGAAAGTTTCACTTCGGACAAACAAGAACCCGTAAAAAATTTACTTGGAGTCTCTGAGGCATGGGTTGCCGATCATGCCAAACACGTGACAAGAATGTTACCGGGTGGTGTGTTTGTTCAAGGTAAGTTTAGACACGGTTTACTTGTGAATCCCCTGTAATGAATAAAAGCCATAACTGCAATTCACAATCCCTTTGGTAAGAACAGAACCTTTAGTTCTTTTTGATATTGAGTAACTTAGCAATAAGGTGATCAAATAAATTAATTAAACAACAAATATTGCAGGAGCATCTTTAATTTAAATGCAATGGCTGTTTAATTTACAAATACCACATTTATTAGTATTATTAATACACAAAGTTACCCTGATTTATTCCCTGCACAAAGGTCAACATAGCACTAGCTGCATTGCTGTACTTAATAGCATACAATACCTTGCCTATGTTGAAGTGGTCTGCTTAGTTCCCCTGTGAAATCCTTTGTCTATGCTGCCCACATACCAGATGTCTTAAATACTAATAGAACAAATACATGCTTGTGTTTTGCTGCTGCCCTAATCACTGCACCTGCATTACTCTTAATCTTACATTTTATTTATCTTTGGACCTATTCACACGAGTATTTAGCACAAGTCCTGTCTCACACAAGACAACAACTTGTTTCCTAGGATGCTAAAGTGAGCTCATCTGACTTATTTCCATTCATGCCACTCAGACCAGGAGTTTTAAAAACATGGTAAGATTGCCCTACCAAGGCTGCGGCACACTATCATTTAGATTGTTTTGACGAGAAAATCTCATGGAGTGTGAAATGTTGTTTGCCTAAACCATTACTCTGCAATGCGACCTCACCTAATCTAAATGCAGTTGCAATTCAATTGATATCCTTGCTAGGAATACCCATATATGGTGATGCAAAGGCTTGTAACCAAGTACCAGATTCTGGCTTTGATGCTGCCTTTATGCAGGCCAAAATCTTATCTAATCTTGCACCTTATGTCATCTCAATCTATCTGAGCTTCTAGTTGTTCCTGAAGACCTTGGCTTGGACAAATTTTAAGCCACTTTGATAGAGCTATGTCTGAAAAAGGAATAGTAAGCTGACTACCACTGGAAGCGAACATAAGACTGATCAAACCCACCATACTAGGAAGAGATACAACTCCTGTATCACCTTTTTTGTAGGAGAAAGGGCAAACAAGTATACTGCTCACCTGATGGTAAGTGGTTACAGCCATGGCAGGGGAATTGCAGATGCGTTGCAGGCATTTTAAAAAGGAGTAGGTTCTTTTCTTGAAGGTCCCTAAGTTGTATCAGTCCTGAAAAATCTCTGGTAGTAGTCGATTCCACAAGGAAGTTGTGCGAGAAAGAAATGTATATCAAGAACACCCATCATCATTCAAGTCTATGCTGAAAATGCTTTTCAAAATATTTCTTAATGAGATGTTGAAAGCATCAACATCATTTGAAAATACCTAAGTAGGTGAAGTTATAGATGTCTTTGTCAACTTGCACATGAGCATTATTAAGCTAATGCATAATAGTACTAGACACATGCAAACATTTGAAATGAAATGAAAAAAAAAATGTTTGCAAAGCCAAAAGAGAGAATTTTTAAGTTTTAATAATTGTTGAGACAACTGAGAGAATTTGAGCTCCAAGTAATGTGAAATTAATCTTATCCATAATTTTAAGTCATGGGGGATTAGAGTCTGTACTGAGGTTTTTAGCAAAAAAAATTTCACACTTGGCTACTCACATTTGACCCAATCTCTTTCAATCTCGTTAGAAATAGCTCTTATTAGTTCTTAGCTATTTAGTGCTATAATGCCTCTAGTATTATCCACTCAAGCGCCAGACCGACGTCGCCAACTTTCACCCACCGTCAGGGACCGCACGGCTAATAAAATGTTATTTGACCACTTCCAACCTTGGCGATAAAAACACCTGTCGTTCATAAACTGTGTATAGCACTGGTGTGCTATATCAAAATAAAAAATACAGTATAAATTTAATTTGAAACTCGAAAAAAGGGTTAAATTTAACCCTTTCGCTGCTCCACACGTATATATTCGCAAAAAAAACTTGTGTATCATACGCTCCCGACGAATATTTTCGCGCTTAGTTTTAAATTAGTTAGCTGCTCAATACGACTATTTTTACTATGTATTATTCATGTTTTCTGCTCTATACGATTATTTTTGCTGTTTAATACGTATTTAAGGCTACCAATGTTACTGCGTTAACTGCTCTACACGGATATTCTCGCTCTAATTTTATTTTCGTACGCTGCTCCAGACGAGTATTTACTATAATAAACTCGCAATACTTAATTTCTTTAAACAGCTCAACACGAATTAATTCGCAGCGTTTAAATGGTCAAACTGCTCAACACGAATAAAGATGAAACTACTAAAATAAATGCGCACAGCAGGCACAAAATCTCAAAACGAATTGCGCAGCGAAAAGGTTAAAAAACAAAGACTGACACTTCTCTATAAAAATATTTATTTGATGAGAAACCCTTAACTTCATATCCAGTTTAGTAATATTTAAATAAACTAGATTAAATTACCTTACTAACAATACTAGAATGTTGTAAACTTATTTACAGATTGTTAATATATTATGTTTACAATATTATTTATTTATTTATTATCACAGATTGTTAACTAATTTGTCAATTTTTTTTGTTGACCTGCTTTAGTAGTGCTACCAACCTTATAATTTGTTGAATAATTTCTGAAGTGGCAATAGGCCGGCCATATAGCTCGAAGAACCGATAACCGATGGGGAAGAAAGGTTCTCGAGTGGCAGCCTCGTACCGGTAGGCGTAGTGTAGTGCGACCCCCCCACTAGATGGAGTGACGACCTGGTAAGACATGCAGGAAGTCAATGGATGCAGGTGGCTCAGGACCGTGTTTGTGGCATACCTTGGGGGAGGCCTTTGTTCAGCAGTGAAATTGTGAAGGACTGTAATGACGATGATGATGATGATGGACTCTATGAAACTATTTTCATATACAAAACGGGTTATTCGATTTTTAATGGCATTTGGTTAGACTATATAGTATATAGTACCTGGTGGCGGACAACTCGTTTTTGTTTCGAGTACCAAGGTCCCCCATGGCGCTTGATTGGCTATGGGAACCTTTGTGCAGAGAACAATGCAGTTTAATCAATCATTACAATAATAGTTTTAAATAGAAATCGCAAAGAAATCATAATTTATCTGTATTTTATTTACAACAGATTCCGTCCCCAGAGATTGTAATCTTTGGCGGTTTTAACACTCACCATGCTGAACGGCTTGTTTTACGTTTAAGCAATTATGCAGGGAGATCTGTTTATGACTTTGCATTGGAATATGGTCTGACACTTTAGGCAGATGACAACACCGACTGTGCTAATATTTTCTGAAAGACGTCGTTGAGTGTCGGAATAAACTTGCATCAGAAATCGAGTCTGTTTAACAAAGTTTCAGATTCAGCGCGATTAAATCTAGTTCAGTTCAATCCCCAGAAGATACAGGTGTGCGCGTTTACCGCTAAAAAGAATCTATATGTCGTATCTCCTCAATTTCAAAGCATTATTCACCTTTTTGCCTCATGCTAGCGTTGGAATCCTCAGCGTCGACATATCAAATGATGTTCAGTTCCGCGATTACTTTGAAGGGAAGGCCAAATTGGCCTCTAAAAAGCTTAACGTGCTTTGGCGGCACACCGCGTGTTCTTTTAAAAGGCACAAATTCGGCCTCGCATGGAATACTGTTCTCATGACTGTGCGAGGCGTTCCCACAATGTGCGATTTACAAGAAGTTTTCTTGCTTGCACTACTTCCTTGTGGAATTGCTATGACCAGCTATTTTTCCAGACTGATACGACTAAGAGACCTTCTAGAAAAAAAGTCCAGTCTTACCATCAGGTGAGCCTAATTTTATTAAAAAATAAAATACTAAAAATAAAATAATACCCTATATACTATGCCCTACAGTTGGGTAAAAGCCATGTTTAATTTCTCAAGATTATGGAGATAGTGGAAAGAAATGTCTATATCAATGTACATGGTGTATCCGGCTGAGCATTAACAATGATCTGATGACCAGCTGATAGCTGAAAAACCATTTAAAAAACTGCACCAAATTTTTGTAGACTTCGAGGAGCATGACAAAACCATGGATCAAATACTTAATCCTCAATATAACATTTCTGAGTTAGGAGAATAGAAAGTGTGAATCACTTTACAAATTTCGACCTAGTATGTCGAACTTTTTAATAGAGTTTACATTTGTATGATAGTACCTCATAGTGAAAAAATATTTTGTTTTCGTACAAAGTCTAAAAATCGAAATGGACTTCAACAGAAGGAAATGACTTTTTTCACCATATTGAGGTTTATGACTTACTAGGCTATAGTCATCCAGGTTCCACTGTATATCCCTGAAGTATTTTGAATTCCTCAGATATATGGAATTCCATGTAGTAGGAATCAAACTTAAATTGTTTGAATGCAAATATAAAGCACAGTATATTAATAAAAAAGTTATGTACACACGAACATACCTGGACAATAATAATTGTTGTCCATGGGCTGTCATAATTATTATTATACATGGCTGTAACCAATTTAAGTGGTTATATCATCAGATGAAATCTTAGCTTGTTTTTCAGTTGTGTTTTAAAATATTTGTGGAATTTAATTCTTTTAATTTTAATAATTTCAGGTATTTTTATTACAAGTGATGAAGACATTTTTGAAGAACCCAACTATTTTAGCAAAGTGAAGTCTATTTTAAATTATATGTACAGAGTACTAAACAGTAATCAGTATATGTTTGCCAACTGTCCCTACTCCAATGAAAGGTTGATCTTACACATGTCAACAAGCACAAAAGTACTAACATGCAAAAGTGTAGAAATAGGTGGACTAAACAAGAATACTTCAATTAAACCAGTTGAATGGAAATTTTTGTCTAAACCACAGCAATGGCAGAGGTTAGACTGTTATTATGAGTTTGATGATGTTTACCCTGTAATTGTAAAGAACAGTGGCATTTCAGTTAAACAACAGTTTCAGGTATGAATTCTACATTGCATAGGTGATCCAATGTGGGTAAATGTAAACAATTATAAAATTTTTGTTTTTGCAGATATTTTACTATCGTCTTAAATAATTAACGTAATGAAGTTACTAATTAAATTTTCATGAAATTTAAAGTGATTCCTTTTATCTAATGTACACAAAACATTTTCTATGATGTTGTAACCTTGACTTATAATAATGAGTAAGTATGCTTACTCATTATATATGCCAAGGTTAATATGTTCATATCTAGTATCAACATCTAATGGGTTATTGGGAAATTTCTTGTGACCATCACTAATTTGTGTATAAATCTATGAGTCAGTATTTCGAGCGAGTTGATGACAAGCAGGTAGTTAATTGTCGTTTATCATATCACCTTAGTTCTGGAGCCCGATCTCGCATACTGATTCTTTCCAACAACGCATAAATCCATTTATAGATTATATTTTACAAAAATCCTTTAACACCAATTAACTGTATATATTACTTCGTGCCATTTCAGGGTATTTGTAGTTTTCTACTTAGGAGTCGGTCTGTATAGGTAGGCGTTTCCTGGGCTGTGTTCTGGTATGAAGGGTATAAGTTCAGACATCAGCTTTTACTGATTCGAAACAACTTCAAGCACAGTCTTATACATAGCTCGCCGAGCTACCTTCTTCATACAGCCACATATTGAAGTCGTTCATAGTGAAGGACTACGTCTTAGGTCCATATGTCATCTCTGGCAACACTTGTATACACTAGTTTTGAGGTATATGTGACGAGAATATGTGTCGTAACCTCCCCAACGCTACTGATTGATCTCTCGGTCGAAGTTGTATTGGACGTACCTCGTTTTTTTATAGGATAGTGTGACAAACGAGTACACAGACCACCTGATGGTATCCTGGTGGCCCATAGACATTTATCCTCGATTACAAATCAAAATGCAGATAATGCAGACATCTATCCTCGATTACAAATCAAAATGCAGATGCGTTGTCTCCCGTGAGGACTAAGATGGAATGCCTCGTTTCCAGTAAAAAGGGTCTCTGGTTCTCTACACTCACCATATGAAACACATCAGCATTAAGCTAGTATTTGACGCTGGTATTCTGTGAGAGCGTGGTTCTTCCCCGGTCGAGCCGACCCATTCATGCTACAACTCTACTACTAATATAACTAAATTTATCACTGTAACATAAAGTGTTTAATGCATTTTTACTTCACAGGAGTCTCATTTTGCATAATTTGCCTTAAGATAGTTTTTGCCGCAGTAGTTATTAATGTTCGCTGGCTTTACTAAACGTCATTACATAACCATTTGCATAATTCATATCAATTTCTTACTTTAAATAAATCAATCTTAGTAAATATCTTATTTATAGAAAAAATATTAAAAATGGTAGTCATATAATGATTTCTTATATTTACGCGAACACTATTCATTGATTAAAACTACTTTTACGGATTTTATCGCGTTTAATTTTTACTTATTTTTAATTCCCGACGTTTCGAGTGCTTTCTAGCACCCATGATCACGGGGGACTGAGTTCCGGGAAGTCTGCAGTTTGTGATCAATCCTAGACGGCCCCAACCATTAAATCAGATTTGTTAGACCACAAATCCTCGCGAAAAAACACCGATTCCTACCAAGGATGATACGTGAGTGTATTAAAATTAAAAAAAAACATCCTAATTTCAATAGGGATGGAGGCTGGGTAATCAATAAAATTAAAATTAAACCCAAGCATACCACTGCAAGACTTCAAAACACTGTCAGTTCGTTTTGCATAGATCGGACCATAAACAATAGTTAAAAAAGCTGAAGGTACTCCGGGTTTAACAATGACATCGGGACGTCAGTCATCTCAGTCCCCCGTGACCATGGGTGCTGGAAAGTACCCGAAACGTCGGGAATTAAAAATAATTAAAAATTAAACGCGATAAAATCCGTAAAAGTAGTTTTAATCAATGGTAGTCATAGCCAATAGACTTATTATACAATATACAATAGACATTATACTGAACCTTAATTTTTTACTCCATAGAAATTTGACGTTTGACGTGTTGCCAAACATAAAAAAATCCACAAAGATAGGCCTATTATTTTACAAAATAAAAAATAATTTGTAATTTTTTTTTTCATTTTAATACACAGTTAAGTTGGGAAAAAAATCGATTTTGTCTCCGTTTGTGCCCTTTTACATTTACCCACCTTCACTAATGTCTAACAATAGTGAATATTCAATATTATGAACCTAAGAGTATATTTAAAAATATAATTAAATATAAAATTTTCAGAAAATACTGGAGTCTGCACATAAAATAATTGATTCAAGTGTGATGTTCATTGACGGTGAATTGAAAGATGGTTCGGAGCAGTTGGAACAAATCATAAAAAAGAAAAAATCAAAAAACAACACCAAAACTTCACAAGACTTGCCTAAGTCTATGCATGTGTCATTATTTGTGCCATTTGTAAGTACTTCTTACTATTTTATTTGTCGATTGATGAGATAGATCAAGAGGGGAGACTTCCTCAGAGAGCATAATGTGTAGATGAAATAGGGTCACGAGCAAACAAACAAAGTATTCCAGATCAACAACAAACAAAGTATGCCAAAGAACGATACGCTATATTTTACCGCCTTAATAGATATTAACCTTGTGAAATAATAAGACGTATTTAGTGAACGCATCGATAAGGACGTACACGTATTCTTTTTGATCGTTCTTGCCGGTTAATTTTCCCGTCACATCTATGTGTACTGTATGCCAGGGCGTAGGTACCTACTTAAGTATCGGATGTAATTGAGTTTTGCCTGAGCAAGTTATAGCTACTTTACACGTAATGCAATTGTCAATAAACTTCTTAACATAACGGAACATTCTCTCGAAATAGAAAACGTCATAAATCTTCTTTAAGGTTTTATCATAACCGAGATGAATAAGCGACTCGTGAACATTATTTACTACTGATCACCTAATAGCTCCAGGGAGCATTGACAACCATTTAATATGGCCGTTACGCTTTAGAACACCTTTACGAATTTCATACGTTCTTGCCATATCATCATTTAACTGTCCGTTACTTAAGTCAGAAATAAGCTTAGATATATCAGAGTCACGCCTTTATTCACCAAGCAACCAATTACCGGAGAGTTTGGCCAAGCTAACAAATTTCTTTAAATCTATCTTAGATTCTATATTAACTTTACTATCAAGAGATGAGGAATGATTTCGCGACAAAAAGTCTGCGTGTGCCATATCTTTGCCTTTATTATAAACGACATCAAAGTCAAAACATTGTAAATAGGCACACCACCTGTGGACTCGCGGTGTCAAGTTAATGTTTTTACGAGATGATTTTACGAATTGCAATCGGAAACAACTGTGAATTTTCCACCGGGTAAGTATTGCCGAAATTGTTTGATCGCGTTAACAATCGCTAAAGTTTCAAGTTCGTAGCTATGTCAACGCGATTCCGCGGCTGTCCTCTTACTACAAACACGCAACAACTCTTCGTATACTCTCAACTGTTTGAAAAAAAAAATAGCACCTTAGCCCTCTGAGTTCGCATCAATGTGCAATTCTACTGGGTATTGGGGGTTATAGATCATTAAAACTGGCTCTTTTGTAATAATTGAGACAATTTCTTTTCTGTCTTCGTGACGCTGTTGCCAAGAAAAAAGAGCAGGTTTTATCACACGTCAATCTATAGAGAGGGCATTATACACGAAAAGTTAGGCAAAAACTGTCTGAAATATGTTGCTAAGCCTATAAATTGCCTTAACTGAGTTAAAGTGGACAGTTAAGGTAGAGTAGACAGCGCTTCTATTTTTCTACGATTATGTCCAATATCTCCTGAATGGGCTTCATAGTCTAGAAACTCGAGTTGCGTTTTACAAAAACGATCACTTATTCAAGTTTAATGAAAAACCAGCTTTAGTTAAACTACATCAAGTATCAATACCTGCCTCAATAGTTTCAGAAATAATCAAAATATCGTCAACGTAAAAAACTATTACGTAATCATTTGCCGAATTACCTCGGACCTTAATAATAGCTCTCATATCGCTCTTCAAGTCCAGCTACTCATATTGGCCGTCTGGTGTTATTAATGCAGTTTGCTGTATACATTTCTCATTTGATAGGAATTAAATGAAAAATGTGATATGTGTAAATGAGACGAAACGGAAATGAAAGAACACATGGCATGCATACCACATACTGGTCTGGTGTAGACTAATGGTGGTTAATATAGCGCATAGCGCCATATTATAGCGCGCTATCTCTCCATAACACATAGCGGGTGCTGTGTAAGTAGTCGCCACGGCGCTATTGCGCTAGTTCTAGCAGCAGCGCTGTTGGGAGAGGACGTATGATGCAAATTTGATCTAGTAGCACGCTATTCATCGCGCGCGACCTAATTTAGTGTTAGACGTTGTTTAGTTATAGTGTATACTGTATATTTATAAGTGATCGAAGGACACAGTTGTCTGCTATAAAAGAAGCCTAACTAATGTTTTTAAATGTAAATAAAATATAGATACAAAAGTGTATATAATAGTGTATGTAAATAGTTTATTTTTATAAATGCAACAAATAAACTTTTAAATACACCGTTATTTGATTTATAATTTATATTAAGGTTAAGTAATTAATATTACCTCTTGAAATAATACTAGTTTTTACGGAATTTATCGCGTATATTTAACTTTTTAAATACCCGACGTTTCGAACGCTTTACAGCACTCATGGTCACGGGCTAAGATGTTCAACGTCCATATGTCATAGTTAACCGCGGTTACCATAGATTAAAATTTAACTTTTGTTCCGATCTATGCAGTATGAACTTATGATATTTTGAAGTCTTGCAGTTGTATGCTTGGGTTGGGATTTAATTTTATTTATTATAGGATTCCAAGCAGATGGTAGCACCCAGCCATCTTATCTATTGAAATTAGGACGTTTTTTGATTTCAATAGCCTCGCGAATCATTCTTGGAAGGAATCTGTGTTCTTTAGCGAGGATTTGCGGTCTATCAAATCTGATGTAGTGACGGGGGCGATCCTGTACGTGTTCACAGACTGCAAACTTCCCGAAGCGTCGATTCTTCACATCAGCTATATGTTCTTTAACGCGGGTTTTTATTGATCTTTTAGTTTGTCCTATATAGGAGAGACCACATTCACAATCAAGCTTGTACACTCCTGCATCTTGCAGATGGACATTACCTTTGACTGATGGTAAAAACTGACCAATCTTCTTCAGCGGCTTGAAGTATTTTTTGATGGAAGCGCGCTTCAAGATGTAGCTAATCTTGTCAGTGACTCCTCTAACATATGGCAGTACAGCAGGTACACGCTCGACTGTGGCCGGCTTCACTCGTTCACTGTGACGTAAGCGCGGGACTCGAAGCTTGTTGTCATGCAAAACTTGCTTGACATGGTGGAGCTCTGCAGCCAGGTGTTTACTGTCACAGATCCCTCGTGCTCTCTGAAACAAAGATTTACCCACGGTAGCTAACTGTGAAGGATGGTGGTGAGAATCACCGTTTAAATATCTATCTGTATGGGTCTTTTTTCTATATACAGTATGATTGTGAAAGTGTCGTCTACGTACCGCTTGTAGAATCTTGGATTTATGGGTGAACTAAGCAGAGCTTTCTCCTCAAAGTCTTCCATGAATATGTCGACGACAATGGGACATACAGGTGAGCCCATCGCCACACCATCTACTTGCTTGTAGAACTCCTCCTTCCACAATAGGTAGCCAAATGTAAGGCAGTGTCTGAGTAATACTGCATATTCTACGGGCATGTTGTTTTCTTCCAGCCTTCTAGTTACAATTGAGATGCAGTCTTCAACAGGTAAGCATGTAAACAATGACTGCACATCAAAACTGACCATAGTTTCATTGTCTGCCAGATGTAGGTCTTTAATCTCGCTGACAAAATGGTAGGAACCCTTTATGTGTGCTCTTGTATGTCCCCTGAGCGGTGAGAGTATTTTCGCTAAGTGTTGAGCCAATCTGTAAGTTGGTGAATCGATTTGGCTCACTACTGGACGTAATGGAGCATTGGGCTTGTGTATTTTTGGTAACCCAGACAATTTTGGTGATTTGGCGCACGTAGGTATTATCCATTTTACGTCCAGATTTAATTTTTGGGAGTGTTTCTTTATGAGGTCACTAGTTGTTTTAGTGTGCTATTTGTTGGGTCGTTTTTAACCTTTTTATAAGTACTTACATCCGACAAAAGTTCTTGTATTTGGGAATTATAATCTGACGTATCCATGACTACCGTGGCGTTTCCCTTATCTGCGCGGAGAATCGTAAGTTCTGGTTTATTGCGTAGGTTCTTTAACGCTATAAATTCGTCTTTGGGAAGATTCGGTTTAGGCACTGAACATCGACGTAACATAGACGAAATGTCTTGACGTATCGCCTCCAAATCTTCTTTCCGCATATTGTTTTTAAATAAACAGTCCTCGACATTACAGATAATTTCTTCGTACGGTAATTTGCGGGGTGTAATAGCAAAGTTGAGGCCTTTGGATAAAACCCTAATTGTTGCATCATCCAGTGTTTGTTTTGACAGATTATAGAGCGCGATTAATCTATGATCTGTGTTTGTCAATGGTTGCTTTTGGTTCTGGCATTGATTCAGATGTTTGATATTTGACTTGTTCGTTAATTTTTGATATTTTTCTATATGTTTGTTTTTGCATTCGTTATATTTACTAATTTCGCGTTTATTTAATGTTTCCATGCAAAAATTATAGTCAAACGTCGTTAAAACTTTCTTTAATTCACTGGATGATGTGTCTATGGATTTGTTTATGTCATATAAATCGGAGCGTTTTTGTTGGATTACCGTCCGTAACAACTTTTTACTCGCCTGATTTAAGGTCTTAGCGCTTCCTCGAATGTCCTTTATGGTTGATATTTTGACACACGTAGGAATGAGATTATGGTCTCGGCATCTCTTCAAGAAATTTAAGGCTGTTAGATATCTTGCGCGCTTGGTCTTTAGATCTTCTAATCGGCGTATTTTATTTGCAATTACCAGTCCGTACTGGTTTACATAATGATTTCTTATATTTACGCGAACACTACACATTGAATGTAATGTCCTTCTGCAAGATGCAGGAGTGTACAAGCTTGATTGTGAATGTGGTCTCTCCTACATAGGACAAACTAAAAGATCAATAAAAACCCGCGTTAAAGAACATATAGCTGATGTGAAGAATCGACGCTCCGGGAAGTCTGCAGTCTGTGAACACGTACAGGATCGCCCCCGTCACTACATCACATTTGATAGACCGCAAATCCTCGCTAAAGAACACCGATTCCTTTCAAGGATGATTCGCGAGGCTATTGAAATCAAAAAACATCCTAATTTCAATAGAGAAGATGGCTGGGTGCTACCATCTGCTTGGGATCCTATAATAAATAAAATTAAATCCCAACCCAAGCATACAACTGCAAGACTTCAAGATATCATAAGTTCATACTGCATAGATCGGAACAAAAGTTAAATTTTAATCTATGGTAACCGCGGTTAACTATGACATATGGACGTTGAACATCTCAGTCCCGCCCGTGACCATGAGTGCTGTAAAGCGTTCGAAACGTCGGGTATTTAAAAAGTTAAATATACGCGATAAATTCTGTAAAAACTAGTATTATTTCAATGTATAGTGTTCGCGTAAATATAAGAAATCATAATATTACCTCGTTTTAAAATTACATGCCTTAAAAATATTTTTAGGATTATAGAAAGTCGTAATAAGCCTGAAAAGTATGAAAAAGCGTTCGTTGGTTTTTCTTTACCGCTTTATTTTAGTCTATAAGGCGACTTATTACGAAATAATGTTCTTATATAGCACGCAGTCTATCCAAGGAACGGCATGTATTGTAACATGCTACGAGATATAACGTGCTGCAAAACTTACGCGCTTGCCGGACACCTTCACGCTTTCTTATAAATAGCGCGCTATAACATACCGTATTTATTAGCGCGCTAAAAATTTATAGTTTATAGTCTGTAGCGTGCTATTGATTTATAGTTGTTTTCAACAACTTTAGTATAGACGAGACCGTGCGGGCATGCCAGGGAGTCGGTATTATCCTTTCAGAAAGAATGGGTCAATGTGTGATAAAGTATATATTGTAAATATATATACTTACTCAGCGCGTCAATCAGGGCCTTCATATTCGAATTTTGCATTTCGAATAATAATCGCCACTTTTCGCCATTTTCTTCACGTGGTGTGACCTCAGTGCGACGTCCGTTTGTTTGCTCGGATCCCACTTCTTATGTTGGTTGATGAGGTAGATCAGCAAAGCAGACTTCCTTAGAGAACATAATTTGTGGGAAAAATAGAGTCACCAGCAACAAACAAAGTATTCCAGATCACGCAACTAATTTATTATGATTTCGTAGATACAATAAACACAACGAGTCGTGTGACAGTTCCTAGCCCGATGTTGTCCGCACCAATGGAGTAGAATAATATATACAGAAATCGAGAGCCATCTCCTAGGATTTTTTGTCACTCAATATGAATAGTGTCGCCGTCTGGTATCACATCCGTTGAACTAATCTCAGTATTTTGACTATAGATAGCTGTATGTTGTTATGTATATACGGCTATCTATACTATAGACGGTTATATTTATATTTTAAGGGATTAGGGTTCAATTAAAGACGTATTATAGATTTCAGTATCAGTATATAAACATTTATTTTTGTTATATATATTCAACAAACACGATGTAAAGGCGTCTATTCCGCAAAATACAACACCAAATCAAATTAAATATGTGCACCGGGTTACCAGAATGATAAATGAAAGCGTCTATTTCGCACCACACTACACAAACATACAATGTAGTTCCATGATGGCATGAAAATCTAAACAGACCAGTGGCGAAGCTTCCATTAAAGCCGAAAAGCCGGGCTTGCCTTATTAAACCTGAATCAATCAATAATATCAACTAATAAAATAACTCGTAAAATGTTTCAAGCTATTTCAAATTTCCCGCGCACTCCACTGTTCGACACATGTCGACCGATGACCTCGTATTGCCTTAGCGATACTGCTGCTGTCATAAAAATGAGTTTTAATAGAGCTAATAGTTGTCTCCCTCGCTCGCGTGGGGGTTTTTACGGGGCTTTCGAGAAGACGATCGCTCTTTTTCTAACCTATGGCAAAATATTCTATAATGAAATATAACTACGATTGTATATATAGCAATTAGTATAGAGATTTAAAGCCAGGCTTTTGGGAATAAATTTGTTAAAAGCGGAGGCGCGCGGGCAATACGTTTGCAAGTTATTTCACGTTTCAATGTTTATTTACTCTGTGTGTTTATCTTAAGCGATTTAATATTACGAGTTCAAAATTTATGCTTTTTTAAAGATTTTTAATGAAAATGGAGGATAATAGTGTTCCTTGTGATGAATTGAAGTGTGTTAAAGTGATAATCGGAGAGGAAATCTGTAAACTTTTTTGAGATACTACACAAGGTTAAGAGTGTATTTCAGACTTATCAATTATCGCAATTAAAAACAGTTATTGGTACAATTAAAACGTTCACCAACATTTTATGTGGACGTAATTAAATCTTTCCATAAGAAAGCGAGACGATTCCACTTATCTTATCTCTTATCCGTTAGAATGTAAATAATTTTTTTTTAATTTTGTACAGTTTGTTTGTACTTTGTTCGTGTTTTACTTTTGTTCATGTATTGTATTGGATATAAATATTTTTTTCTTTCGCTTAAACAAACCCAAACGGCTTTCTTCAAAGCCACCGAAGCTATGCAATTGCTGATATGTAATACAATCTATCTAGCAGTGGTATGCCTTCTGAGTGCTTTGTTAAACACGTCCTTGACAGCACTGAATATGAAACTGAAGCGTGGAGACAGATCAAGATTGGTGTATTTTTATAAAGCTGCTAAAAACAACAATCTATATTTTTATCAATTTATATCTTGGGCTTGCCCTAGCTTGGAGCTCTAGCTTCGCCGCTGAAACGAGACAACAAAAAAACAGAGGGCTAATCCCAACTCAACCAAACTTATTGTAGCAACAACCGAAAATCACATAAACTATAATAAAACAACAACTTGCTCAGTCGCCGGCTCGCCGGTAGCCATTATGTCATATAAAGTTGCTACTTGCCAGTTCGAGAATAACCAGAATTGGTGTAGTCGCCATCTAGCGCACCTTTTAGAATTTAATGTTCGAAAGTTTATGCGGATAACGTAAAAGATGGCACTAGTGTCTTTGCAAATTATTGGACCCTAAAGTATGGAAGTGTACCCCCCTGTCCGCACGACAGCAAACCAAGAGGCCCTCCCGGCCCTCGCGATCCACGCTGCTAGACTCCGTCGAAGCGTTGCGTCTCAACATTTCCGCCCCGTTGTCAAATCAGCTCTCGTATTAATTACTTCACCGACATATTTAAATCATACTAAATAACAAATTTAAAATAAATTATATTAAATTAAACTTATTGAATTCCTTAAAAGATTTTTTTTCTATAAAATAGGTGTGACCAACGAACACACACCACCGGATGGTGAATGGATGTAGTGGTCCATACTCATTTAAATCTATCCTCGATTAAGAATCAAAATGTAGGTGCATTGTCAATACTGACAGTAACAAGGGTCTCTGGTTCTCTACACTCACCACACGGAACACAGTATCATTAAGCTTCTATTATACGCTGCTATCTGGTGGCTCTACCAAGTGTATATGATTAAAGGTTTTCTAATTTCTAGGAGAATGCCCTCCCTGAAACTGTGGAGTATTTGGAATGTGATGGCAGTATACACTTTAGCGGTGTAGTATCTTCGAGTGTGTTTGTGTATCCTAAGGCAACAGTTAGTGAAGCAATTGCAGCAGTGAAACAAGATATTATAAGATCATTAGCATCTCGTTTTACTATGCACTGTGATGCGCTAATTGATGATAATTTACTTCCTGAAGGTTTGTATGAAACAAATCAATTTTTTATTTTTCTACTTAATTGTGGTAAAGGTTTCATCACTTTCAACCGAAAAGTATACTTCAAAGATTACTTTACATTATCTAATATTAATTATGTTAAAAGGATAATGTTGATAACTTTGGGTCACTATGATATCTTAAAAACCAGACTACTTATACGAGGGCGGCACTGAAAATTTCGGGAATCAAGGAAGTGACACAACATTACTATTTAAAAATGTATTTATTGCTTTTCGATGTATTCGCCGCGAAATTTGACACATTTTTTCACACGATGGAACCAATCATTGAAGCAACCATTCTATTCGGAAGTTGGGGTCTCCAAAATGGCCGTTTTGTAGGCGTCCACAGCTTCTTCAGGTGATGAAAATCTCTGTCCACGCAATTTATTCTTTATTTTAGGGAAAGTATAGAAATTATTAGGGCTTAGGTCGGGGCTGTACGGCGGATGGTCTAATAATTCTATGTTTTCTTGCTCTAAAAACTCTTTTGTTCTGTGTGCGGTGTGAGAACTCGCATTGTCGTGATGGAGGATGATGCGGCGGTTGCAGTTCTCTTTACGGAGTTCAGGTGGCAAACAAATGCTAGCATACCATTCTGCATTAACCGTTCTTTGTCCCTCAAGAGGAATAGTCGTTTTGGAGACAAACGTGGCCACCATTTATTTTGCAACACTCCGTGAACGAACAATTTTTGTTGGCTTTAACTCATTTTCGAACACCCAAACTCGTGACTGGTTTTTTGTTTCGGGTTCGTACGCGTATATCCAGGATTCGTCACCTAATACGATGTTGTATACAGCATTTGAGGATCCTGCGTGGAATCTTTCGAGAGTTCTGACGTACCAAGTAACGCGAGCCGCTTTTTGCTCTTCACAGAGCGAATGCGGTATCCATCGGGAAAACAACTTTTTTACACCTAATTATTCATGCAAGATTATTTGTATTTGACTCATGCCAATGTCTAAAGTTGCCTAAATTTAGTGGTATGTCACATGTCGATCTTCCTCAATCAGCTTACGCTCAGCATCAACGTTTTCTTGGGTGACTGCAGTTTTTGGACGACCTTGACGGGGATCATCACTGAGCTTGACACGTCCACGTTGAAATTCAGCAAACCAGCGATAAATTGTGCTTTTGGATGGGGCTTCATCACCAAATGCAGAATTCATCCGGTCTACACACTGTTTTTGTGTAAATCACTTCGAAAGTCATAATAAATTATCGCTCTTGAATTTTCTCGAGTCAATTCCATTTTCTCAACGACTAAACAAGTTTGACAAAACCTTGTGACAAGACCGAGAATCTTTTTTTAAATAAATAAATGGTATTCGTTTTTTAAAACCAAGGAGTTTTCAATTAAAAAAGATAATATGACAGAAAAAGTGGAAATATTCCATTCCCGATACTTTTAGTGCAGCCTAGATTTATTGTATTGATTATACATTGTATTGATCTGCGATTGTCAAGGGATCACTTTGGGCTGCTTAGATTGCTTTTTCACCATCGTGCTACGTGTTTTTCCAACAAAAAAGGATGAATCTTGATTGTGAGAAAGATTTTTTATTATGACTCTACCAATCAGTGACTAATTAAAAATAGCATATAACTATGACTTGGGTATGCCGCGATATTTAAGAAGTAATAAGATCTTCGAGCTTTACTTAAGTCGCTCTTTACGACACTCAAAGGATGATGTGATTGTTTCTCTTATACTAGGTACCACAATACAAATATAATCATATTTCTATTCTTGTTAGCCTTTATAATATATATTTTGTGTACGTTTACAGAGAAAGTTTGTTTTAATGAGCCTCCACGGCGTGTGTTGGTGCCAGTTGGGTCACTATATCTCTGTGACTATCTTTTCCCTGGGGAAGCTCCAGCAGAAGCCCTACTATCCGTTAGAGAGTTATTGGATTTGCAGATAACCGAAACTGATGTGATTTGTGACATTGAAACACCAGCAGGTACTCATTGCTTATATTATATAAAATTGGCTTCTATCAATATTGAGGCTTTGATTCTTTTAAAATTGAGACTAGCTCAAATATGGCTTAAGTCTGGTATCAAAGTAGTGCCTGTCATGTATAGTGTAGACACCTTATAGTCCTAGATACTTAATCACCTTACTTTATACGCTTGTGTAAATAGAAGCATACTCATATCCGATTGAAGACCTTATTGGAGTATTCAGGCATGGGTAGGATCGGGTTAAGCCATGAAGAGTCCTGTGAATAACTGGCAGGGACCATGCGCGGGTAGTTACAAATATAACTACTTTACTTTTTTCCTTTTTAATAACAAAAGTCAGGAACGTAACTTTATTCGTTTTGAATGTCTACCTAAAGTAGTAGTAAGAGTAGAAGGGATGGAAGTTCATCCTACACTAGAATCATAGTCGAATGGTGAGCAGTTCCTCCAATCCATCATTTACCTAGAGCTTCAATCAATATATTTGTCTTTCATAAATAAATACTGAAGAATCCCCTACCTGAATAGAGTTTCATGCAACAATGTCTTATGTGTTCCGAAAAAAATTCCGAAAAATTTTCGTTGGTGTCACTTCGACAGGTAACAAACAATATTAAAAATAAAACAGGCTTGGCAACAGACTAATCGTGCTCACTGCGTTATGCGAACTACAATATATTGTGTATATATCCTGTATGGATCTAAGACGCGGTCCATCACTGCTGGCCGTATGAGGAAGTTCAAGGTCGCCGTCGAGCTATGGAGAGGGCTTTGCTCGAAGTCTCTCTACCTGAAAGATTTCGTGATGAGAATACCTGCTAGAGTGATTTTTATACGTGGTAGAGCCATGCTGCCGCTATATTAATTGTATAGTTGTAGCACGAATGGGTCGGCTCGACCAGGGAAGGACCACGCTCTCACAGAATACCAGCGTGAAATAGTAGCTTAATGCTGCTGTATTTCGTATGGTGAGTGTAGAGAACCGGAGACCCTTTTTACTGGAAACGAGGCATTCCATCTTAGTCCTCACGGGTGACAACGCATCTGCATTTGGTTTTGTAATCGGGGATAGATGTAGATGTCTATGGGCCGCAGTAACCATTTACCATCAGGTGGACTGTGTGTTCGTTTGTCACCCTATTCTATAAAAAAAAACAGAAAAAAAGCTGAACCAGAATAATCTACATAGACTAACGGATTAGTAAGCTGAAGTGGCAATGGGCGGTCATATACGTTACGAAAGATTTCTAAGTGGCAGCTCGTACCAGTAATAACGTGTAAAGTGGCACCTCGCTAGATGTAGTGAAGATGTATTAATAGATGCAGATAGCTCCGGACCGTGCTTCTTGGCATTCCTTGGGAGAGGCCTTTGATGGGCTGGAATGATGATGATGAATATCCTAAGAATTTGTTTATTAAAATGATTGTTGTATTTTATTCTTTTCGCACTACCAATATACACTTGGTCGAATAATGCAGAACTTATTTTATTACGAAATGTTTTAGATACGTCGGAGTTTGATGCTCTTGATCGAGACACGAGCAGTGAAGAACTTTTAGCCACTCCACAAGAAGCAAGCCAGTTTATGTACATTACAGGCATTTGCTTTGCCATGTTTGTATTGTTGGTCTCTATTTTAGTTCACTATTATGATGGTATTGTAGATTTTATAGGTAAAATATTGACGAGGTCGTAATTATGAAGACTGTATTTAATGAAGTTAAATATTATTTTATAATATAATTAAATTTCTGATTCATATGAGATGATTTTTTGTTTCAATATGTATTCTTATTGTGTAATATATATTTTGTACAGATATTGAATATATGTAAAAGCTGGAATAAATTATTTTTAGAAAATACTTTTTTCTTCAGTTTAATTCGCTTTACAATTATAATTTAACATAAATTGTGTATTTATTGACACAAGTCACTTAAAATACAAAACTTTTAAAAAAATATGAAAGGAGATTAAAGTGACTGACGACGTGACGACGTCAATTAAATACTAGCGGCATTCAAAATAGTGAGAATCTCTTGTTATTATAAAAATGGAGGTCATTTGATTGCGATTTGTATTACCGTGTGTAATTGAAAATGAAAACAATCTACAAAACATCTGAAAAAGAGAAAACATGAAATAGGAAAACTTTTTTAAAGACGTTTTATAGCGAAAATACTTAATTGGAACCTAACAATAAAATAATGTTCATCATCAATCCCTAATGTAACCCGATAATCTTTATTGACCAGTACCGTAGTGGAAGTTTTCAAGCACAAACTAATTTTTTTATTTTTGGGTCATATATTTTTTTCGTGATACGTGACGATCACCAATTTACATAACGATGACCAATTTAGGTTACAATGCCGTATCTCAATTCTCAGCATAGCTCAATTCTCGACAGCTCTAACTTTAATTTTTTTTTATATAAGAAAAGGGACAGGAAGGAACAAGCGAGCACACAGTCCACCTGATGGTAAGTGGTTGCTGTGGCCCATAGACATCTATATCTATCTTCGTTTGCGAATCAAAATGATGATGCGCTGTCAGCCTTGAGGACTAAGATGGAATGCCTCTTTTCCAGTACAAAGGGTCTCCGGTTCTCTACACTCACCATACGAAACACAGCAGCATTAAGCTGCTATTTCACGCTGGTATTCTGTGAGAGCGTGGTCCTTCCCCGGTCGAGTTAATATAGCTGCAGCATGGCTCTACCACGTATAAAAATAATAATTGAAAATGGTTGCTCAAACATTGCCGAGTTTTGAAGTTTGTAACCATAGAGTACTTTATTAATTAGTTGCAACTCTGCGCAATATTAAAAGATTATTTTTTAATTAAAAGATTATTACATTATTAAGAATAACTCAAAAACTATTTCTCTTGATCAAATTTATATGGGACCACATGAGAAGCACTAGTTTTCAAATAAAAAAAATAATCATTAAAAATCGGTTCACCTAGAAAAAAGTTCCGAGGTAACAAACATAAAAAATACAGTCAAATTGAGTATCCCCTCCTTTTTGAAGTCGGTTAAAATGTTAACAACCTGCGTGGGTCGAAATGTTTTTATTGTAAAGAGTATGCTAAGAAACGTGGTAGTTAGCACAATGATTAACGGCATATTTTGGTGCCAGAGGACATTGATCTACTTACCACAGTTCTTCGAGTATCTCGGTCCAATTTGCTTTCACCGAAACTTACGACTGCTTAGAGAAGTACTTTTATCTGAGAGGACTCCTAAGAAAAAAGTTGGTGGTGGATTAGTAATTGTTTGGAGAGGCATATGTAGGACGATCATACGGAGCTACCCGACGTGGAAGAAGAGCCTCATTATTGGGTAGAAGAGATTGCAGCACGGTACAGAAACGACATGTTCGAACAGATTGTAATGCTTTTGCCCCGTACACCGGAGACCACACTGCAGTGACAGTTTCGGAATATCTCAGAGTCGTTGGAATTAAAGTTTTGCAAGATCTAAGGCGATCATTTTCCTAAAAACTAAGGAATACATTTTTGCTCGATCACACCGAATCCACTTCACTCAAAGAAACTGATGGAAAATGTTTGAATGTGCAAGCTGGATGAGGGTTAAATAGGGACGGAGTGTACTGTTCAGGTCTTTTCTATGTGCATGATCACGGAGGTTTTGGTCAAAAACCCGAAAATTTTCTGTGCATTTTTTGATAGAGTTGCTTTATGGCAATCGCTGGTCTCGTTTTGATAAGTTTCAAATGATGGTTATGTCGTAGCCAACTAACTTAATTAGCCGTTTAATCAACAGCCTAGCCTCTTTACTAAACAGCGCCGTTCAACTAGCGGCCTGAATGATGGCTGAGCCATTTCATCAAACAGCTAGGCTGAATATAATATAAATCGATGACGTTTCATTACTTGCCTAGCCTTTTCATTTCAATTTAATTCCACTTTCTGCCACCCAGCGCTGAAACTCCAAACTCTCAATATGGCGTCGACAAACAAATTTGATGGTGTTATCCAAAGTTTAATGAAAAATAGTACAAGCTGTCGCAGGCAACTAGCTTAATTAGTCGTTCAATTAACAGCTTAGCCTTTTTATGTTTAACTAGGTGCCTGAATGATATTCAGCCGCTGCGTCTAACACAACGTTGCAATTATCTTGTAATATCAGCGACAGTAGGCTAGGCTGGGGTGGCCCTTGTGCCAACCCAAAAGGCTAGGCTGTTAACTGAAAGGCTGATTAAGCTAGTTGGCTGCGACAGTTACATTAATTTAAGTATCATTAAAATACAAGGTAATGGGAATGAACTTAAGTAAAACGTAAGTGATAGTATTCGAAAGAGAAAAAATTAAAGTGAAATAAGAATAGAAAGGCATTTGGTCGAGCAAGTGGATGAGTTTGTCTATTTCGGAAGCGTGTTTATAGCAGGGTGCCTAGGCATTAAAAGGAAGAGTTAATGTAAATAGGCGTCAAATGACACGTAAACTTTCTTTCCAAATAACTGGTCTTATAAAACAATGTATTAAATTGTAACATTCAAGTTCGAAATTACTTAAAATCATAATTCTTTTATTTACAAAATATAGATCGTAATATCGTAATTTGTCTGAATATTTCGGACAATTCATTATTTAAGTTCAGCTTTCTGCCGAAAATTCACTAAGAAATTACAATAATATCTGCAAAGTATCATTGTTATCTCTATCTTAAATTTGTCGCAGTTGTTTTAATATTACTAATTAAAATCTTTAATATTACCAATCTATGTTGCTTTATTTGACTCCAAACTTAGCAGTGGGGGCTGGCGGAGGTTGAGGATATGTTATAATACAAAGTGGATGGGGGTACATTGAAATTGTGGCTCTGGGCCTGATAACCTTAAGAATCGTTCTGGTTGTATCTGGAGCCTCCACGGCCTCTGCCCCTTTAGCCACCTCGAACTCTAAAGCCTCCGGAATTCTCTCGATTAAATCCATCATCCCTGTTACCGAAGTTCTGTCGAGCGGTGCCGTTGTCTTGACGATTGTTGGAACTGTTCTGACGGTTCTTATAGCTGTCCTGACGGTTGTTAAAGTCCGGACTTTTATTGAAGCCAGAGTATTGCCTGTAGAGACAAGAGCCAATCGTCCTCCATGGCCCCGTCCACGTCCATGTCTGCGCTCGCCTTTGTTTCTCTCGCGGAACCGACTGCGACCATACTTTTCCTTAAAGCCTAATCACATTGAGGTAACTCTAACAGCCTCGAGTTCACGGCTTGATTTGTTTCTTGGTAAGATCCCTGGCCTTAGCCGAGTAAGTGGGCGTGAAAAATGTATAAGCTGTACGTCCGATGCGAAGAAAGTTGTCCTCAGAATTGTTCGGACAGTCGTAGTTTATCACAAACTTCACATCAAGGCCTCTAGCTGCGATATCAGTGGCGACCAGAATGCCGCCATTTGACTGTCGGAATTGCCGTTGTCTGTGACAACCCCTCTGGGTGAGTGTCATGTGTAAGAGCTTATGTAATAGATATAATAAAATTTTGGCCTCCAATTTGTAACCTAGTTGTTTTGTTCAACAATATTAATTTTACAAATTAAATTCAATAGGTCCCTCAATCAATACCTATATTATCTCTTCACTTTTTTTGATTTTATGCGGTTCACTAAATATAAATAATATTTTTTTCGTGGTAGAGCCACGCTGCAGCTGAATTATGGTTGTAGCTCGAAAGAGTCGGCTCGATCAGGGTAGGACCACGCTTTCAAAGAATACCAGCTTAAATACTGTTGTGTTTCGTATGGTGAATGTAGAGAACAGATCCGGAGACCCATTTTATTGGAAATGAGGCATTCCATCTTGGTCCTTAGGTGTGACAATGCATCTGATTTTTTTCATTCTTAATCGAGGATAGACGTAGGCGCCTGTGGGCTATACCAACCATAGCACATAACAGTCGAGAATAAATAATAGTACTACGTAACCATAGGTTGACTGTGCGCTCGTTTGTTATCCTAATACTATTGAAAAAAATATGCCCCTATTTATCTATGATATTAAAAACAATTCAGTTTGAGTATATTAACATTGTAATCATGGAGTGTAATGGTAGTAACTTTATATGTTAGAATGGCTCTTTCGTCAGTGGTCTGATTGATTTAACACCGCCATCTATTTTTATTTTTCGAACTAATAGAAATAACCCACAGATGACGCTAGTGTATAGTTATCATAGTTATTTAAAAAGTATACTTTTAATCATATTCCACGAAACGTCAGCTTATGAAATAACTACATGAGCGAAAGAGAGAACCGACAAGATCTAACTGTGTCCAGGCATTTTATTTAAAAGTGGTTGTGTTATAGGAAATGATATAATAGTGCAATCCAATTACAATCACATGTACGTGATATTTACACAATGTGTATAGTATCTTCTACGCGCTATGCGGAGCGGTCTCCAATAGATAGTGTGTTAGTGTGAGACTGTGTCACTGTGAGAAAGTACTTTATTATAACCAGTTCTCGCTTTTACATCTTCACGGAAAATTATTAGTGTATTGTTTGTCTTAATCCGTAGTAATTTCATAAACGAACATGTGAATTGTCAATTATAGAACTTTGTATACAATGAAAACAAACTGAGCGAGAGATTTATTTATTCATTTAAACCGGTTTGTGAATGACCAGTTGAATGCGTGATATCATAATATTAGTGAAGACGATATTTGTTTACAATGGCATTTTCTTTAAATAAACTAAAAAATATTTTAAATACTAATCGGGATGGTCAGTTAGCGGGAAGTGGGAGCTTAGAACCAGAAATTGGGTTCAAATTAGCCTTACATCCAGTCAGTAAAAATTTGTATGTGACAGTTGTCGGCGCCCGGCACCTTCCTTCCTTGTTTGGGTTGAGTCGAGCTCATGGATATATTGTTAAAGTAAGTGAAATTTATTGTAATGTCAGTTATTTTGATTATTTTTAATTATATTTAATAAATATTCAATTTAAATTGGTAAGCTTCGTTGAAAATTTGTGATTTTGACTACAAAACTACCTGGGGTAGGGAGTAAGGGGGAGTGTCCCCTAACCCCCGACACCACTCGCATCAAAAGTTAATACACCCGTATTTGAGAAAAATAAAAAAGAACATCTCATTGACCTAACCTCAAAATGATAACATTTTTCGTCTCCGGCGTAGGGAGAGAGGGTAGCGGGGATGTCTTCTATTACACCTAGGAATTTTGAATGCTGAAGTGATTCTGGGTGATCAAAAAAAAAACACGAAGGCGGGAGCTAAGCCACGGTTCGCCTATTTCAATTGAGAATTGACAAGTGTTTCTGGGTGCTCAAGTATTTCTGGGTGCTCAATTATTTATGGGTGCTCAAGTATTTCTGGGTGCTCAAGTAATTATGGGTGCTCAAGTATTTATGGGTGCTCAAGTAATTCTGGGTGCTCAAGTATTTATGGGTGCTCAAGTATTTCTGGATGCTCAAGTATTTCTGGGTGCTGAAGTATTTCTGGGTAGTAAAAACAATTGGTTGGATTTAGAATAGTTTGGCAGGAATTTAAGGGAGTACTTAAGATGTTTTATTTGGTAGAGGCACAGAATAAGTAGTAGTACTACGTAGTAGAGGTTTGGTCCCCGATAATACCTCCACTCGCATTAAAAGGTAATGCACCGTTTTCGTCTAAAACTAAATTTTAACCCTTATCTTTACCAAAGAAATAGATAAGAAATTCGTAGAAATAATATAATATAGAAAGATGAATCCGGGAATATAAATTGAATTTTTGCTTCATTTAGGTATTTTTGTGTTACACTGGGAATAAACTGTAATAAATTATTGTTCATAACTTGCTAACAATGTAATTCTTAATAACCTTTAGCTATTAAACTCAATTTTTGTAAATTCAAAATAAAATTCTACATGCATGCATGTTGAGGATTACTATCAGGTGAGCTGCATGCTCGTTTGCCCCCTTTTCTATAAAAAAATCTCTGAGGACCTGGCACTGTATCAGATATTGGTGTCAAAAAGTAATTTTAAATAAAACGTAATATCTCAAGAACTACGGTTGTGATTCTCAAACGGTATACTGTTTTGAGCCTTTCGTTTATATAATAAAAAATAATTGATCGATTGGTTTATGAAATATTATGCGGATTATGAAATTAAATTTAATAATCAATTAAAATAATAGTATAAATTGAATTGGTGTTCAGTTAGATCTTAAACGGACCAAACTAAATATATTGTTTAGGAATAGGTACATTAAGTGACTTACATATTTGTCATATTATTGTTATCTGTGAGAATTGTAATTGTTGATATAGATGTAATCTTTTTTTCTGCGAAACCGTAATTAATAAATTTAAAACCTTGAACGTCATTTGTACCGAACTTATTTCACTTTTCACACGTGGGATCTTTATGCTTGTTACTCAAAAGTTAGAACGATAAGCAAAACAAGTAGTCTTTTAGACTGCGGAGTAATAAAAAATACCATAAGCTCCCTTCATTTTGACGATTTAACGCTAAATCTAACAGCCGGCGTATGATATTTCGAAGAGTTCGGTTTCCGGTTCTTACGCGTCTTTTCTGGTACTCCTACAGGTATTCCCTATTTCTAAAAAAGGTAACCTCTTTTATCTGTTCAACTATAGGCAGATCGCCATCTCCTCATTGTTACAATAATGGAGTTCATTATTAAATGCCAACTTAAGAGGTACCTTGAAAAACACCAGCTGATTAGTGACCGCCAGTGCTGGTCAATAAAGTGCTCCGTACTCAAGTTTTCGTCGGAGTCGCTCAGCTATCCATGTTCTAGTTAACCTAACTTATCAATGGGTGGAGGCAGTCTGGTCCAAGGGAAGTCGGCAGAATCGGACTTGGCACAAAGTTTATTTTGAAACTTCTATTTTATTTGCTTATCGAAATATTGTACCATGGCACCAGTTTTTTCTCAATTTTAGAACACTCTCCTTGTTGCTTCGGCCAGCATCGGGAATTTTAGGTGTTGAAATAAGTGACGTCCAGATCCGTAGTCACTTGGCAGGAAAATTAAATTGACCTCTAATTCTCGTGCTCGGAAAAGCGGAATAGTATTTTATATCGGCACATCACTTGCAGCTTAAGAAGGTGCAATGCCTCGGTCTCGACCTCGGCCTCACTTGAAGTACTGTTCTTAACTCTTGGTCCAGGCACCCCAGTGCCAGCTCCTTCCAGAATCTTCGAAGACGGAGATCTATCTGATCAGCTGGTTTCATGGGCGTTGCGGGGAGATGTGTTGCATCATGCAGTTTTTATCGTATTTACCACGGAGAGTACCTGGAGAATTGTTCAATCATTACAAGTTCTACCATTGCACGTCGCGAATAAACTTTTTATACCATCCATATTATCTAGATGCTTGATGGTTCACCACCGTGCGAATTTCCAAATTTTTCTTCTTCGTACGATGAACTTGTGGAATCTGTTATCACTAGCGATTTTTTTAGACCGATACGACGAAGGGACCTTTAAGGAAAGTGCCTATGCCTTCCAGAAATGCGTTGCGCCAATGAACGCCTTAATAACGTAAACAAAAATCAATTATTAAAATATATTGATTATCTCAATACTTTAAATATATTTGTGGCGTTCGTACCAACTCTTTCAACAAAAGGAGTTTTAATTGTAGTCGCGTGGCAAAAAAAGACTAAATGTAATGTATTGTATCTAGGTTGCCAGGTCCAGTGGGTCAAGTTTCGGGACAGAGGGTAAAAAAAAACGAGAATTTGTTTTTCAAATCGGGACAGTTATAATGAATACAAAAAACCATTGAGCTATTATGTACTACGTCGGTAAGTACATATTACTTCAATGCAAAAAAAAAAACATTTTTTTGTAGCCATTTTAGCCGCCATTAGTTATATATACTTGCCTTTTTCACACAGTGCGCAATGTGTTCTATAACTATTACTTGAGATTGATATAATGAACGAATAAATTTTTCTTCCAAATATCTGAAAAACTGCACTTTCGTCTGTGTGCATTTTTCTTTTTCATTTAACGATTTGTTTTCGTTGAAGACTCTGAATTTTCATAATCACTCATTTCAATCTAATTCTGAATAAAGGTAATAAATTTCATGAACTCACAACGCATGCACTTCAAAAAAAATCTCAAAAAAAGGCATCATACAATAAAAAAGCACACATTCATTCATAAGCAACGGTTATAATACCTTAAACCATTAGATGAAATCCTTGCATTGGACGTATAATGTCACTTTAATTATTCGAAATAACATTGTAACCATTTAAATAAATTGACTAGTGAAAGAAATTAGCTTGTGTGTAAGTTCTTCGACCTTTGCATTTTACAATAACAATTTACATATATTCATTTTTGCTGTCAAAATTATTGATCGAAGTACAGACTAAGGAGGTTAGTGAAAAATCGAGACATTTGGCGTCCCGATCAAGGGTGAATCGGGACGTGTCGCCAGACCCCTAAAATCGGGCACCTGGCAACACTATGTATCGTATCCATGTCTTTGATATTATTTTATAAGCGACAGTAGACTAAAGGGTGCGGACCGCGAACTCAAAAAGGTCGTGGGTTCGAATCCACCATTCGACTACTGGCGTGAACCACTCGTAACACAAGCAATTTAAGCTTACCACGAGTGGTTAAAGGGAATATTAGTAATATTTATAGCATCGTTAATTCTTTAAAAAAAATTCTTTAAAAAATGCGTTTACGAGGGGTATACTGAAAGTTTATTGTAACTCATAAAGTAAAATATATGTAAAATAATATATTTACTGCTTTTTAAAGTATTCTCCATTATATTTTAAACACTTTTTATTCGTTCATACCATTTTTGAAAATATACGGACCATTGGTCTGACGGCAAGTTTTTCCACGTCTGGTTGAATGCTATCACAGCCTCCTCTGGCTTGGTAAACTACTCGCATCAAATCTTTGATTTTTGGGAAAATAATCAAATCGCACAATGTGAGGTCTGCAGTGTATGTGAAACGGGTCACGAGCTCTACTTTTCCAGAAGTTGAAAATGACTTTGCCTTGTTTGCGGTTTTTACCGAAGCATTAAGTCATGATGGTTTGGTACCAAATGAGCACAGTCCACCTGATGGTATGTGGAGGTTGCCTTCCATGAACAGCTCGATTATCAATTAAAATGGAGATTCGTTGTTAACCGGTAGGACTAAGATGGAATGCCTCGTTTCCAGCAAAAAAGGTCCAGAGGGGTAGGCAGAGACTACTGACTTCCATTTGGCACGATCCTGACACACCTCTCTTGCCTCCTTCACATCCATACACCTACGCATACATGCTCGTCGGTTAAGGGTACTCCTAATTTGGCCCGTTTTCAATAAATCGCCAATTTGGTCGATAAATTTTCGCCTAGGACGTCCCTTTCCGACTCTGCCATTCACTTCTGCACTATAAATTTTCTTTGTCACTCTTTCCTCATTCATTCTTTCCACATGACCAAACCACCGAAGCATTCCTTTCTTAATCCTGGTCACAACATCATCTTGAAAACCACACTCTTCTCTTATTACACAATTTCTTACACTGTCATTCAGATTCAGCCCTAACATACTCCTTAACGACCGCATTTCTACTGCGTTCATTCTACTCTCGTGCTTCTTCTGCCACACCCAACTTTCACTACCATACGTTAAAGTAGGGACCAACACAGCATTGTGAATTGCCATACGTGCCTTTTTCGACACATTTTGACTTTTCACAATAGAGTGCAAGGTCCCATTTACTCTATTTCCCGCATTCACTCGTCGTCCTATATCCTTATCATATCTCCCATCCCTGCTAAATACGCATCCCAAATATACAAACTCATCTACTTGCTCGCTCAACTCCCCTTCTATTCTTATTTCACAAATCGTTTTATTTTCTTCTCTT